TTTAAAATTATTAACAATACTAATTATTATTATAATATCAATATAAAAAATACCTGATCAATTAATTGATCGACATTCCACCATCCATCAAAATTTTTTCCAGGATTAATTATGACGCGAGCTTCATTTGGAATTATATTATCTTCTTCATTTTCATTCAATTTTAATCTTCCAATTATATCAATTAAAAAATTACTAACATGCATTGTTTTTCCTTGTCCTTTTTTTCGTAAAGGTTGCTCATTTTTAGGTCTCCAACCCGATTTTTTCTCATCATTTGATTGAAAAGTTGTTTCATTATGGGTAACAAGAATATGTATGCATTGTCCATTTTCTAATTCTGGATCTATTTTAACTTCGAGTTCATCTCCAATAAATTTTGGCATTAATTTTTGATAATTAACAGGAAAAAAATATATTAAAATATAATAAATATATAATAAATATAATAAAGTGAAATATTACCCAGCCATAGTTTCAAGAAATTCCTTTCGATAAGCAATTACATCATTCCTTTCATGACTGTCAATATACATTCCTTTTGCATATTGGCTAAATATAAAACCTATTTGTTTTAACTATCGGATTGCTGTTCTTTTGCTATAACAATATAAAATTTTATTTATTAGATCATAATTAATAGAAATTATAATAATAAATGAATTTTACCTAATCTTAGCTTTTTTTTCTATGCCAATGAAAGGTAAATCTCATTTGTAACATAATCACGAAAATTATTAACAGTTATATCAAATTTGTGTTGTCGTAAATATACTGCAACCTTTAATTGAACATTTTCATCATCAATAATGCTGCTACCTTTAAAATGTTTGCCATGATTAATTTTAGGAACATCATTATAATTAATAAATGCTTTAAACCAACTTTTAACACAATGAGAAAACCATTTTCCTCGATTAAAAAGATCTGCAATGATTTGACTTGCTTCTAACTTTGCATATCCTTTGTCAAGAAGTTGTAGATAATACTGGACAGCTTTAAGTCGCAACTTATGTCCTGGAGTTAAATGCTTATCTTCAATCTTCAATTTATTTTCAATAGCCATAGTATATCTTATAAATATATCTGTCTTATTAAAATCGGAATTAAAATCATGATCAAGATTACCATCATAACTGTTACTAGGAACACTGAAATCACCATCAAAATCACCACCAGAACTATTATAAGAATCACCATCAGAATCACCACCAGAACCATTATAAGAACCACTATAAAAATTATCATTAGAGCTGTCATTAGAATTACATTTAGGATTATTACAATAACTAACATAATCACTAATTGATAACATTTGGTAAATTGTTTGTCTATTCTTTTTTTGATCTTATAATGCTTTAAGCTTTCTTCAGTATTTAGTTGTGCATGAGTTTCGTAAATTAACTAATGGACGTTTAGAAGGTTTAAATTTTTTCATATTTTTTATTAAAACTGAAAAAAGCTGTTCCGCATCATTTTCAATTTGGTCATTGATCCATCCAACTTCAACTTCATCCTCTGTGCTTTCTCCATCATCTAAAGTTACAATGTCATCTAGATTAGTCTCATTGATAACATTATGTATATTTCTTTTTTTAGCTATACTTTTACAATGTTGTCTTTGTCATTTTGATCATCCCATTTAAATTTTAAAAAAACGAAAAAAAAGGTCATACATTATTTATAGGCTAAACTATATTTAAATTGGCCTGCATTATAATATTTTGACATAATTTTAGTTGGAATTATATGTTTCAAATTTTATAAAATTTATCTTTTCTTAATAAAATATTCAAACTTTACGGGCTAATAACTTTTT